TTAAATTTTTTCTAAATAAAAGGAGGTAACAATCGAAAACCTTAGTCCTTTTGGGGTAGGGTATGGCTCCCATGCCCCCTCTTGTCCCGCAACTGCTCGTAGTCATGAAAATGGAGACGGCGGCTGACGCCATGTCACAAGTAGACGGGATCTGGTGACGGGGTGGGAAGCGGGAACGAGGGCGGAGGCGTGTGCGGAGACCAAGGCAGCGGCATACGCAAAGGCGGAGATGATGACGGTGGCGGGAACAAGGGTCGGGGCCGAGGCGGCGACTACGGCGGCGCCAGCGAGGAAACAGGACGGGAACATGACAATGAAGCCGTGACTCCCCGTACATGGTCAGCGCAGGTCGCAAGTTAAGGGCGGGGTCGAACGGAAGGACCTTCTTGCTTCTCATACAGCGGTGGGAGAGCTGCGTTTTCGAAAAGAGACAGAACTGGGGGGGCAAACGTTCAACGTACAAACGTACAAACGCGTTTCAAAATGCATTTGTTGCGTATTAGATCTAATCCTGGTAATTAAAAAAAAGGTATTGTCCGATTTCAGATATATATTTCTAATAATAGCTTATTGATCGCGTAGCGGTCATCATCAGAACAATTGTGTAGCGTCTCGGCGAAAAAAATTCGTCTGGGCGGAAAGGGCGAATCCGTCCAGCGTCTGAGTGGAAAACGTACATAATAATAATAATAATAAGAAGAAGAAGAAGAAGAAGAAGAAGAAGAAAAGAAGAAGAAGAAAAGAAGAAAATGAAAAGAAAAGAAGAAAAGGAGAAGAAGAAATACAAAATACGGATTTAATTTTTTAGTTATCTGCAAGATTTTTTATAACATTTCATCTATATGACAGGGATATGTTGCAAATAGAGGTATCATCATGATAAGTGTTAGAAGAGTTAATTTTGGGACTGTTCAAATCCGTTGAGCATTGATGATCTTTATTTTCCAAATTTCAAAGCTTTCAACTAAAATGTCACCGACATCCACAGCCACCTCGTCGCTGTGATCAATGCAGTCATTTTCCCTAGACGTCGCTTCGTAGTCATTGACAGTTATCGTAGTCATCGCGATCATCATATTCATACAATCTCCGCTATTACTACAATCTCTAAATACCGTAACAATTATTAGAGTTTTTCGTCTTTCTTTACTTTCAATATTATCCATGATTTATCTACCACTCTGGCACTTTCTCACTACCCACTCACAGCAGTAAATAAAGGTTTATATGTAAACATTGCAATAAATACCGTCGATTGTGTCAAACTCGTTTTGATCTTCCACTTATCTTCTTCCACTAAATCTTCTTCTTCTTCTTCTTCCCTTAAATCTTCAGTTTCTTCTTCTTCTACTAAACCTTCGGTTTCTTCTTCCAATTCATATTCTACTTTCTCCCACTTTTCTCATGATTATCCAATCCGTTCTTCTTCCTTTCCTGCAGCTTCTAGTTTCTCTTCTACGTCGCGTTAGCAGTCGGCGTCGCAGCCACCACCAGCACCGCCGCCGCCGCCGCCTCTTGCGTGCTTTACCCCGCACTGCTCATCTCGGTCCACTCCGCGTGGAGAGCAGCCCTCCAGGCCCTGCCGCGCCGCCCTCCTCGCAGACGCCCGCCCCCCCCCCCTCCGGGCCTGGAGGAATCCCTCGGCGGGACCATCAGCGCCCTTCCCCTCCCCTTTCCCGCCCTTGGAACGTTTCATCCTCCGCTTGACCTCCGCTCCGCGAGCTCCGTTCGTTAATCTCCGCCGCCGCCGCCGCTGCAGCGCTCGCGCACTTCAACCTCTTATCGCAGTTCTCTTTACAACTTCGCGGATGCTCAAAACAGTTGTTTTTTTTGAAAAGACGATGGAAACGAGCGGTGGTTTTCAGTCGAATCGAATATCCACGAAATATAATTGAGAAAGTTGTTTAGATACTCAAATCGGAAAAGGTCATCCAAAAATATAGAAAAAAAGAGGTGAAGGAATTTAGTTTTTATACTTATGTTTTAATTATCACAAGTTTATCTTCATACCGACTGAGTTATTGCATAAATTGGTAAAATTCATTCTCATCAGTCAGCAATCAAAAAATCATCTATTTTTGCCATTCCGAAAGTATTTTTTCTTCTATACTTTCATACAGTTCGGCATATTAGAGAAATGGTCATTATAAGAGCAGCAGCAATATAAATAAAAAATAGCTTTCTCCTTGTATGCATTAGCCTATCAAATTGCGAATTTTATACAGTAAACCTTCGTTAGCACGAACTAGCATCATAACATCATTGTATGACGAACAAAATTTGCGTCCTGATAAAGAAAAGTAGTAACGAAAATATACATATATACATTAAGATCGGATAACAGGATTTGTTTAATACCAACACCGATTATTTCAGTCCCTTGAAATTCGTGTTATCGAGGGTTTATTGTATATACATCAATGGGATGCTCATTGTTTTCTAAATCCATTAAAAGACGTTTGTCCAAATGTGCACTTACCCTAACAAGTTCTCTTGTGCCTTTTTACAAAAAAAAATTCTGACAGTATCACACACCTTAACTCCATAGATATCCGAGAGAGCCTTTAATGCGCGCAATGCAAAACTCACAGACGCAGCAATCTCATAATCGCGACAGAACAAGACTCTGCTTTTACTAACCGAAATTCATGTGATGCCATCACACTGCTGAATTTCAAAAAAGACATACTACCGAGTTCGACATTTTATGTTAAGTTACCCTCGGCATTTTCGCACTAGACACACACCTATTTAAAATCAACTCTTTAATTTGAACATTACTCACGTTTACGCCTCTCGTCATATTCCCTTCGCGCCATTCTCTCAATTTCACTGAACACTTCCTCTCAAAACAACTAGCACATCACACAACTTTACAAGTATACTTCACGTGCCATATTGGACGTACACATGGCAAAATCGTCCAAAGAATACGCTGACAATATAAGATGTTCTCTGAATGTTAACTCTGTTCAGGTTTACCAACGCACAAAAAGGAATCGTATTCACCGGTATGGCGCGTATTTCAAATATCCCCAGTAAAGTATATTTTTCCAATACAGTTTTGAATAATATAGTTTTGTATTTAAGTTCATATCTCGCAGCATCGTTTTACTGTAGTATATATTATTAAACACTTAAGTCCCTGTAGGAAAACGCACTTACAAATAATTATTTTCTTAGCTTAGTATCATGCACTACGTAGTTAGGGTGTTAATTTCCCCTGTTTAGACATAAAGAAAAAATTGAACGGAGCAATATAAAATTGCTTGTCCCTATAATACAGAAACAGAGCAAATAAAACACAAATTTTTGGTAAAACCGAAAGAGTAAGAGATGAAATTACATCTGTCAGAAAATTGACATCGTCCGTCCTTGAGCAAGAAACTACCAAATAAATATTTCTACTACTTTCTTTTACCATCTCTTCTTCTTCTTAATCCTCTTCTTCGTTGCTGTCACAGTAACTGAAACGGGAAAGGACTGAAGTGTTATGTATGTCGATATGTATGTATTGAATACTGATACTGAAGTGTTATGTATGTATTATTTTTTCAACGAATATAGGTGTGTCAGAAATTAATTTTGCATTTCACGTACGTATATTCAAGCCTCAACCTGCAAAGTAGACACTTTTAACTGTAGATTCATATCATTTATCTTCATATCGCCAGCAGTGATTCATCAAATTGACATGTCAGTCGGTGTTGTGCCACCCTTACAACATCAACATTGTAGGAAACTTCTTTGAGATGACTGTTCGGCAAGAGGCACAGCTGACAGCCACTTTTCACAACGCAACGCGGAGATTCATAGGTCGCTGTTTCGCGAACTAAAGAAATAAACTGCGCAATGCTGCGGAACATGCTAAACAGCCATGAAATAAATTTATTCTCCACGTCTCGACCAGTCCGTCCAAAACGGTCTTGGAGTCATGTCGCGACCTCGATGGGTCGCCTGAGTAACCGCTTACGGATTCGGTTGCGTAGCCGGTTCTAGAGGGAGAACGGGTGCATTGGTCGCTATTCTATATTCAAAGCGGCAATGCACGTTCATAAAATTGGTGCACAATATTAGACTAGAAGCGTAACATAATATGTGGTAATGTATATAGGATTAAAACTAGCATTGCAAAATATGCGTAACGAAATGCATACAGGAAGTTTATTTATTTATTTATTTATTTACGTCAAAAACAGTTAAAAACTGTGTGTGACGTGCTGTGGGGAGAAGTTAATTTGAAGTTACTTTTATGTCCAGAAGTAAAACAAGGGGCCATCCCAGCATTTCCTCGAGGATCAGAGACACTGGACGATTTCGTCGTAAGATTTCAGGGGAACACACGGTTATGGGCAAAACTACCATTAAAGAAGTAAAAAACTATTCGGTAACGTAAATTCTGTTTCACGAAAGCTAGAATTACTGAAGGAAAAGTAAAGTAACAAATGTACTGTAATACAATCCCTACACATAATAAAATTATTTGTGGTAGTAATCGCAATAGTAATAGGAACAAGTGTTAACACTTTTGGTTTAATATAAAAAGAACTGGGACGTTAAGAAAATATTTTATGAAGTTTTATGCTTTTATATTTTTATTCCTATATAGTTAATCTTTGAAAATTATATTAATGTGAGAATCTTAAGGGTTATATTATAAACATTTCTGGTATTGCTTCTCTTCATAATTGATTGCTAAATAAATATTTCCGGGCGCGTCAGCTGCTATGGTCATTAGTCTCGTACGTGGTGTGCATGTTATATCCAGAGAGGTGACAGGGTTAAACGATGGAAAGTGAGATACAACCTAAACGTCGGATTGCCGGGTTTCACTCATGAAGTACCTTCTTCAGGGTGGCACGGTCACAGCCGGGATATTCCTGATTGAATCAATTTCATTCAGGAACATTATTTGCCTAAACTGAAAATATAACAAAACCCTCAAATCGGTCTTCTACTCAGTGATCAAGAAAATATATTCCAGTTTCCTCTTTCTTCACCACTTTCTCTGCCCAGGTACGGGGCCACGGCCCGTCACGTTTTCGCTCTCTGGAGCGCGGGTAGGTGGCTCTTGGCTCACACGGTGAGCGGTCCTGGCCGAGCTGGAGCGCGGAGGGAAATTTCGGTGACAACTGCTTTGGAACCATGAGAAATCCAAAGGTCAAAGCAACGGACGCCATTGCCGAAATCCCTACGCGCTGCGGCCAGACTGTCTTTTTATCCTCCTTGCCTAGTTGCTTAACAGTTTCAATATACATCGTTAGTCTATCTTCAATGCCTTTCGAGGTATCGGCTTAGTATTCGTTTACCTTCCACTTAAAGTTTCTTCAAACATGTGGGTACTCATGTATTCGAACGTATGCGCTTCACAATCGTATTTCAGTTATTCGCATTTTTTATGTTAAAATTTCACATTTAAAAATGTTTCAGGTGATGAGCAATCCGTACGCAGCCCTTTTCACACACACATCCACACATACACACACACACACACACACACACACACTACACACTTACCTCCGTGTTTTGTATGTCGTTGCTTTTGCCTCGTTCTTGCGTGTTGCTCGAACAGCGGAAAGGTTATCCTCGCTCCCGATGCAGCATTTTCATGGTGAGCGGTTGCAGACAATGATTCTCTGATTCTGAGGCAAGTCTCACGCAGAAATACAACGCAACAGGATATCATATATGCATGTGATCCATGCCGAACGGCAGTCGCTAAGTACTAACAGCGGGGAGTGCAGACATACAAAAGTAAACCGCTTGACTTTCATTGAAGACCTCAACAAGAAAGAGCCATTCTCATCCTTGGTACTCGCAACGCTGGTGATGTTTTATGGCAGCCGAAGGAGAGAGAACACGTGAATGCTCCATAGGGCAGGTCGCGAGTCAAACGGGAGGTATTTCTTGTAAGAGATCAGGAGTCGACGGCCGCGCGCACACGTATGCAAGTTTCGCCCGTTTACGCAAGAGAACATCCGTGCAATGCGATTACCAAACCACTCTAGACTTTACCGAAAGCTTCTTTCTTCCAGAATTATTTGTATAAGATCTTTTATAAGCTAAAGTGCCTCAGAGCATTTACTGGCGTTATTAAAATGCTTCTGACCGGGAGGTCGTAGGTTTCGAATTCCAACGATAGCAGTATTTTCGACAACAGCTGAATAGCTACGACGAGTTCAGGCATCGTGTGGAGGAGAAATCTAGCGGCCGGCTGCTCTGACCGTTATTTTTTCACGATTTCTCTGATTGATACCAGGCAGTACCCTAATAAACGGGCCTCATATCCCGCACGATTCTTCTTCTGAGTCTCATCCTCTCTCCTTAGTTACACTCACTGCCACTTTTCTTCATAACACTACCATATATTTTGACAGCTATGGGTTTGACCCGGCTGGAGTGATGCCTCGCTAGTGGGAGATACGTGGTTGGGGACCACCCCTCAAACCGAGTATAGGCCGGCCTCGAATTTCGCCGTCATTCGGGGAAAGATCTCCGTGATAAAACATGCACTTCACTTACAGGGCTAATGACCGTAGCGGTTGACGGAAAGGGAAAAAGGAAATAATCGACCAATAAGATATTTCGTCTTCTTATCTTCCATCCCGGCGCTTGCGCTTCAACGGGCCTGCGCACTAAGCCTTGCGGCTGCGAGACCCGGGTTCGCGCCAGCTCTCCCATGCCCTCGTGTGGGACCCGGCGCAGCACCTCGCCCGCCCGTGGGGCCGGAGCGCGCCCGGTGCCGCCCGGTGGCCGGCCGGCCGACGCGGCCTCTAGGAGACGACGTCCTCTCCTCCCTCGCCGCCGCGGGCGCGCTTCGTGGGGCGGCGGCCGGCCCTTCTTACGCGCAAACCGCCAACCGCCGTGGGGCCGGTGAATAGTCGCACGCGCGGGGCCGCGGCGGCCGGGCGGCGGGCGGGGCGCGGGGCGGCGGGTGCGACACGCGCGCGGGGCGAGAGCCCGCGGCGCTCCCGGCAGAGCCTGCATTCCGCCGCCCGCTCCTGGAAACCGTCGGTCTCATTAGCCCTGTCGCCTGGCGCGGCGGCGGCGGGCGGCGGGCAGAAGCGGAGGCGGAGCAGCACGCTCCGGTCCCTCCCGGCGCCCCGCCCCCCCGCCCGCCGGCCTCTCTTCCAGGTGGACAGATATCGCCCCCCCCCACCCCCCACCCTCCCGGTTGGATCACCATCCGACGTCGGTGACGCGCATGGGGAGCTATGCCTATTTCATTATTGCTCCGTGCTCTTTGGGGAGCTTGCCTGCGCTAGTTTCTGATTCTTGCTTTGTATCTCTTGATACCTTCTTATGTCCCACCCGACGTCTTTCAAGGTGGGATACTGAACACGCCCGGTTCGGTATGGCGGACGGGTTTCCTTCCCCTCGGTCGTACAGCAGTTCGGAAGATCTCCACTGCTCACTATCTAGACTTTCATAATCTTGATAGCTGTAATTATTACGGCCTATCATCACAAAATTGCAGTAGTCGCTCTCGTCAAAAACTCGCCACCCGGAAAGTTCACATGTATTTCCCCCCGACTCTGTCTAGATTAATACCTAAGGGCTTTTAATTTTCTTTAGCACATCACAAAGCAAGAAAGCCTAACACGAAAAATAAGCTTTTGGCTACACAGAAATAAGCGCCAACGTCTTCCTTTAGACATACATAATGTCTGAAGCCAGCTGTCATCCGTGAAGAAGATCTATGAACTATAACAAGATATATTTCGTTTTTGTTTTCGCTTATTGTTGGCATCGAATAGGATATTCTGCCAAATTCTTAGTGCCCAGAAAATAAATTTTACATTTCGATGCGAGTTATACCCCGCAAAATCGTCTTCTTCTCATGATCTTTTCCATTTACCTACTTATGAATACTCATCAATATCCAATGTCAGCTTGAGTTCTCTGAAAGTAATGGCCAAAAACAATAATTTTTTAATATTACTTAAAACAAACAATTTCCAAACGAAAAAATCTTTTTTTTTGTTATACCGCGGATGATGAAAAAATGTTGGGAATAAAAGGAAATGGAACGCCAATTCTTAAAAATTCGCCTCTTTCACTATGATAAAATTCCTGACAAATTGTGCATTGAAAATATAAAAATAGATATAAAACTAACTACAATTCATGATCTTTGATTTCCAATTTACCGATAAATATTCTTCTCTTGTATTATCAATTCTGAAAAATTCTTACTATCCGAAACGACATGTCCTATTATGAAATTAAACTTTTTAAGACTTAATTAGCATCACTGCTCCCTTTAAAACCCGCACATGTCTTTTTTTAGTGTCGTCTTCTTGGTGCTACCCTGCAACGTTAAGATCGATATTAAAGAGGAAATTATTCTTCTTCTCTGGTAATCTCATTCAAAAGCAATTTGGTCCCCAGGAACACAGAGAGTAATCGAACCTACCCCGCTTCTAAACCAAAATTTCAAGGTAAAGCTCACTTAAATTACATTCCACGCCGTACTTTTGCCCAGCGCGTATGATACGAAGCGAGACACAGCCCATCAATCGTTTCTTGCGTTTCATTTTCTGCTTTTGTAACCAGGCCGCGCGTAAATCTTCTACCGAGAACATTCCGACCGCGTCCAACAACCGCCTTCTAATTTTCACCTAAAAACAGAGCGGCGGCCGCGCTGGTCGTTTGGTGCGGGTCTTCTTCCAGCGTCTCTTGCTGCAATAGCGCGCTCTCGGAGGAGGCGGGGGCGGCGAGGCGGGGCGACGGGGGGGGCGGCCCGCCCTGGGGCCCGCCGCGCGGGTCGGGTGAGCGGACGGCGGGGAGACTGCACCGCGCGGGGAGGGCGGGGCAGGCGGGGAGGAGCAGTCCCGCGAGGCCACGAGGCCGCGGGGCGAAGAGCAAGAGAATTATTCCGTCCGGGTCGGAGGCGGCGCGGCGAGATGGCGAGGCGGCGGCGGCGGGAGAGAGGGCGGGGCGCGCCGCGCGAGTGGGGCGGGGAAGGCAAAGCCGTGTGTTCGCCGAGCCGACCTAAGCCCGCGGGCGCAGGGACCAGGATATGCATGCAAAACCTTCCCGGCCCAGACGCATTCCCATTGACTTTTAAGTGCGCGGTCCGGTTCCACATACTGGAATTACAGAAATTACGGAAATGGAGGAGAAAAGTGAAAAGAGCAAAAACGCAACAGACACAAGCAAGCGAGGATGCTATGGTAAATCGTAAAAACACTCGGAGGCGCAACGCGGCGTGTTGGTGTGAGTGTCTGTGTGTGGCGGGGGGCGCGGCTGAGGGCGGCGGAGGCGGCGGCAGTTCTGAGAGCGGACGGGCGCTCCCGCGGCTGCGGCCGAGGCGGCGTCTTGCTTTTTGATAAGCACTCGCTTTGTCATTCAAAGCGGACGAGATGAATGTACACACACTCCGCCGTGCCTCACAGCGAGCAGGCGCGCGCCGCCCGCCACACACAGCGGCCGGCGGCGGCGGCGGTGAAAGAAGAAGGAGAGGAGGCAGGGCGAGTGGGCGGAGGCGGGCGGAGGGCGAAGAGAGAGATGGCCGGTGGCCGCGCGAAGCGCGCGATGTTGCGCGCGCGGCGGCGAGGCCGGGTTTTGCGCCGGGTCGCGAGCACCCCTTGCCTCCTCCGCTCCCGCATAGCGCTCCTCCTCTCGCTCCTCGTGCGGCCGTCAACCGCTCGCCCCGCGCGGGCGCTTCTGAGTCTGGGGTTCACGGCGCGCCGGCGCGGACTCGGCGTCGAGGCACGCGGGGACGGTCGCTGGTCGACTTGCATCAGCGAGTCCCGCGCTCGTGAACTGGCACGAAGTGCTCCGTACCTCAAAGCCAAGCTCCGACGAGGAGCGACCTCGCGCCGCACGGCGGACGACACGCGCGCCGCCTTGCCGTCCTGCCTGCCCTGCCAGCAGCCATCTCGCCGCCGCACCTGGACGAAATACGAGGTACATCTTTTCTGGAATGTGTGTTTAACCTCGAGCGAGAACCTCGTCAAGACAGCCCGAAGCACCCATGGGACATTAAAACATCTGGAAATATTTATGTGTCCTGCTGTTGTAAGTGATCACTTAGTAGTTTGTATAGGTTCTAACAAGTCTTAAATATGACAACGGACATTCAGTTAGCAATATGTAAAGTATTCTGTTCGTTATTTATCCTTTTGAAATAGAAAGAAACCTTCAAACCTAAAAGTAAATTTCGAGTAAACCGAAAAATGGACTCGTTGCACATGAAGCATCAAGAATGGCACATGAAATCACAGATCTGCGTATCTGCGGATCAGAATGCACA